GGGTCAAAACTACTCGAATTTCCTCACTCACGTTGTTACGACTGAATCGAGTTTTCAATTCTCTATCCAACGATGCCAAAACGAATTCTGTGGCCCGAATGGTTCTTGAGAAACTTCGAAAAAAGCAGCATTACGTTCAAGTGGATTTTGCAACTCAAAAAAAACCACGCAAATCTAAAACTTTAACAATAAAAGATTAAGAAAATTGTTACTTCGTACAAAATCAGGTTCAACTATATTTTCATCTCACCAACATCATTTTAATCCTTAGAAAATTGTGTAAATCTTTGATTTTAATGCAAAAATGAGTGAGTTTATAGATGCTTTTTCTTTTCAATTAAATGCCATTATCCCTGAAAGTACTCAAGGTTCGCGATTATATAAAAAGCTACTAAAGCCAGCAAGTCAACTGGAACCTTAAGCAATTAAAGGACAATTTAAGTACGTGATTGGTACCAATATATCGCGTGCAGCAACCGTGTTTGTTAGTCCATTTATCATTTATTTTTCCGGAAAATACGGATTTTTGAAGAACTGGAGTTTTGTTTCAAAATTCAACCATTTGGCCTAGAAGAAACCAAATACTGCGAAGCACTTGTTTTCAAAACGTTTGCACATATTACTGTATGATACAAAAAAATATATAAATCAGTGAACGATGAACAATTTGCTGTTAAAACCATGAAAAAAATCATCTCGAATTGACTCTGTTTCTTTCAAATGTCGCATATGCAACCGTTCGGATCCGATATAATTAAATAACAAAAATAATAAAAACTCTTTTTGCTGAATAAATGTGGTCTATGATTACACCTTTCAAGATCGCGGCATTGGATTTATTAATTTTAATGCAATTTGATTTAAAAGAGTCCAATTGTACTTGGCTCACTTACTACTTAACTGTGGGGCACGTGATCGATTAAGCTTGTTTCATTCAATCGTAGCTGGGCATGTTTTGTCTATTTCAATCGATTTGTTTGAACACTCAAAGTGCGTTTCACCCGACTATTACAAAAAATTGCCGTTGAATTCAAAGTGAGTATGAGATTGATTTTTTCAGGCTTATTTATTAGAACATTTGCGATTTTCTGCTGTCTTTTGCTTCGATTTCAAACCTTGTTTTTGTTCTTTACGTGCAGGAAAATACTATTAGTTCTGAAAACTCCCAATTTGAGTGCGAAAGGCCCACGTTTTAAACTTTTTTTTGGGAAATTGCAGTTAACTTGTGATTAATTGCAACACTTTTGCAGAAAACCTTCTAATTAATCCTCTATTCAGCGGCTTCTACTAAGTTCTGCTCGCTAAACAAACATTTTCCTTCAAAATAAACAAAATCTGATGGTAATCAAGTACAAATATATTTCCTAATATGTACCTAGTGACCTAAATAATATTTTGTCTTTTCTTCTGGTTTGAGAGGTCGCCAATCACGTCGCTGCTCGAAGCAAATTTACCTTAATTGTTCGCATATTAAGACCTGTGAAAGAGCGTCCATGAGGTCGATGGTCTGATATACGTGTAAATACGCGGCTTGTGATTTTCCACAGGTGAGCTGATCCTTAGTTATTAATGCTCCGGGATTATTTTTAATGAACAAAATCGCAAAATTGGATTAAACAGAATTTGCATGCTCATCAGAAACGTTTCCAGGCGCTTTATTTGTTTGCATAAAGATTCAGTTTACCAGTATTTTACAGTAAAACGTTAGGAAAGACGCGGTTTTTCTGTTTAGAGACAGTGTTGTTTAGAAATATTGGCGTAAAAGTGAAGAAACCGCAGTTTCCAAGGGTTTTCCAAAATGAGCAAGAACGCTCATTTGTACGTCATTCTAGAGAGAAATAAATAGCCTTTTTAGCAAGTGAACCATCGATAAGGAAATGTTGGCAGTTTTCTCAAAAAATGCTTGAATTCAAGAAGTTTTAGATTTGCGCGGTTTTTTT